GGGCACTATGCCAGGTGGAGGCTTGGGCGGCATTATCTGGAGGGCTAAGGGTTGGGAGGCCTGCAGGACCACCAAAACACTGGAAATGCGCACGAAGAATAGGAATTTGTGCTGCAGGAGGCATTGGGGAGTGATCTGCGGGGCAGGGTTTGGAATGCAAAAGGGGGGGTTTAGGGAAGGATCTGCAGAGTTTAGGGCAGGATCTGCAAGGCAGGATTTGGGGGAGGGTCCGCAAGCAAGCGTTTGGAGGAGCATACACGAAAAACATGAGGGGTGGCATGTGCAAAAAATTGTAGGGTAGTCTATCTACAAGTTTACGGGGGCCTTGGCCATGCGAGGGTTTAGGGAAAGATCAGGCAGGACTTCGGGGAGGATCTATAACGAGACTTTATGAAGGAGTTATGGTTTTTATCGAGTGCAGCAGCAGTCAGTCATTGACAGTCTTCTTGTTTGCATATTCAGAAACCTCCCCCCGCCCCCTCAATTTCAATGTGTGCCGCAATGTGTGCCGCAATGCTCATTGGGCGCTTCTATGTAAACATTTCGAGTGCAGCAGCAGTCAGTCATTGACAGTCTTCTTCTTTGCATATTCAGAAACCTCCTCCCCGCCCCCTCAATTTCAATGTGTGCCGCAATGTGTGCCGCAATGCTCATTGGGCGCTTCTATGTAAACATTGAATTTGGGGGGAGCGGGGGGTCTGGAAGGTTTCAAGATTTGTGGACAAACAATTCCAAAATTGTACTATCGCGCGAGGCCATTTTCAGTGTTCGAAAAACCACGAAAACTGTAGGACGCATTAAGGTACCCCCATAGTCAGTTGCCGCCTTGCTTGCCATGCTGTGGTATTTATGACAAGTAGTTGTCATGACATCATGGTCAACAGTCTCAAGCTGACCACGCACAGACCCCGCGCATAGCTACAAGGTTGTTTTTCGAGCAAAGTTCCAATCCAATTGGGAGCGTCTTTGTCCAAAGGTTTTCGATCCATTCTAGAGCCCATTTTCGAGCTCCAAAAACGAAGCCCAAAATGGGGTCTCCCCTAATAGTTTCCAATCAGGCGGTCTCAGCTTTGGGAACCAATTTTTGGCCTCAAAATGGGGACCAACCCGAGCTCAAAAACTGCGGAATTCTGCGAGGGAGACGTGTTTGAAGCTTTACCAAAGTTTTGCCCGACATGCGGCGACCAGTGTCGCGAGCGACCGCGTCTGTTGAAATCAATCAAAACGCTCCGTTGCTACCCTGGTGATTGGGCTTGTGCTGCTTAAGCACCGTTGTTTGCCACTGTAACTGTGGGGGTACTCTGATGTGTCCTACGTTTTTTGTTGTTTTCCGGGCCCCGAAAATGGGCTCGTAAAGCTCGTCGAAAGTGTGGCAGGGTAGGGAAGCCCTGAACGGAGGTTTTCAGGCCTGGAGAAGTGTTGGGAGGGACTTGGCAAGGCTGCGGTGCATGAATAGTAGACGCCTTCAAATAGTGCCCGAATAGTGCCCGAATAGTGCCCGAAATAGTGCCCGAACTAGTGCCCGAATGAACCCTTCATAGTGCCCAAATGATTTTTCGCGAAGAAAAAGGAGATTTTCCTTCCTTTACGAAAGGAAATGTATTTGGGCACTATGAAGGGTTCATTCGGGCACTATTTCGGGCACTATTTCGGGCACTATTCGGGCACTATTCGGGCACTATGCCAGGTGGAGGCTTGGGCGGCATTATCTGGAGGGCTAAGGGTTGGGAGGCCTGCAGGACCACCAAAACACTGGAAATGCGCACGAAGAATAGGAATTTGTGCTGCAGGAGGCATTGGGGAGTGATCTGCGGGGCAGGGTTTGGAATGCAAAAGGGGGGGTTTAGGGAAGGATCTGCAGAGTTTAGGGCAGGATCTGCAAGGCAGGATTTGGGGGAGGGTCCGCAAGCAAGCGTTTGGAGGAGCATACACGAAAAACATGAGGGGTGGCATGTGCAAAAAATTGTAGGGTAGTCTATCTACAAGTTTACGGGGGCCTTGGCCATGCGAGGGTTTAGGGAAAGATCAGGCAGGACTTCGGGGAGGATCTATAACGAGACTTTATGAAGGAGTTATGGTTTTTATCGAGTGCAGCAGCAGTCAGTCATTGACAGTCTTCTTGTTTGCATATTCAGAAACCTCCCCCCCGCCCCCTCAATTTCAATGTGTGCCGCAATGTGTGCCGCAATGCTCATTGGGCGCTTCTATGTAAACATTTCGAGTGCAGCAGCAGTCAGTCATTGACAGTCTTCTTGTTTGCATATTCAGAAACCTCCCCCCCGCCCCCTCAATTTCAATGTGTGCCGCAATGTGTGCCGCAATGCTCATTGGGCGCTTCTATGTAAACATTGAATTTGGGGGGAGCGGGGGGTCTGGAAGGTTTCAAGATTTGTGGACAAACAATTCCAAAATTGTACTATCGCGCGAGGCCATTTTCAGTGTTCGAAAAACCACGAAAACTGTAGGACGCATTAAGGTACCCCCATAGTTCATACTTTCTTTTGATTCTGGAATACATATCCTTGGATTTCCTTTATGATAATTTGAAAGCTTTGCTCACCGAATATCTGGTCTATTTCCTCGTGGTGTGCCGACGGCTGTTGTGAAACAAAAAACGACTCTGTTCGAAGCTGAGGGTGTTTTTTTCTCTGTCTCTGGGCCAGAGGGCTCTAGTTTTTATTTCACGGAGCTTCACTAATGTTCAAGGTGGCTTGTCAGTGTTTGCTGCTCCAACCGCGTAGCTCGCCCACCGATCTCGGTCTGCCTTAGGTTTGGACACCTAGCAGCACCGATTTTTTAAGGGAATCGAATGCTCAGCGTGCTCGTAGCTGGCTAGCGGCTAGGCTAGCGGGTCGGTGTCAGTGAAGAGCCACACCGTGTGGGATCGAACCACGGCGGGCTCTAGGCAGGTCTCAACTAGTAACTAGATCCACGGGAAAAGAGGGGCTCACAAGAGACCGAGTCAACCTACTGACAAACAGGGACCACAGTTTCCGAAACCCAAAGGCTGCACTGGGTCCCAGAACATTACACGAACAAACACACAAAGACAGCAATGAAACGAGAAATCTAGCGAACGAGGTTGTACAAGCCAGTGAAAGCTGTTCAGCCGGTGAAAAGTTCGGCCCCGCTCAGCGACAACAAGCTGAAACAACAGCGACTAACGGGGTCAAGGCTGTGAAGGGCTGACACTTGGCCAAGGATTGCACGGCCCCGGGCACTGGTGGCGCTGGTGTTCCTGCAGATATCAATGGAGCAGGATCTCGCAACTTGAGCCATCCTGTATCTGCCTATTGAGTCCTTCGGACCGACTCCATCCATGGTACAAAGTAGCCAGCTCGCGCGCGGGGAGTGTATGAGACTTAACTCTACTCTCCTTAGGGGGCTAGAACTCTAAGCCCTGAGTTCGAACTCCGAGAACTGTGAGTTTGGAATACTTTGAGTTCCAAAGCTCAGAGTTCAAACACCTCTCACGGGGGGTGAAGACTCCGGGCTTTTTTCAATTAACATGTCTGGGCCCGTGGCCAGTGCGGCGGGGATCCGTCCGGGGCAAAATGTGCCTGCTGAGCTGTTAGCCAACGCATTTGGGTTCTTCCGAGAGGCCATACTGGTCCCTGTCACAGTAGGAAGGGGGATTCGTGGGCTCTCCAACGCAATTCTACTCTCGAGAACAGATTTAAGAGCGATGAAGGACTATTAAGGGCTATTGAGTGCTATTGGGCTGTATTGAAGGTGAATAAGCCCTAATATACAATGTGGATCTATATTGCTCAGATTCAACACAAAGCTCAGGCTGAAGGCTGTGAAATTTGATGGAATTAGTATTTCTAATACTGTGAACACAAGGAGTACTATTCACACCATGACACTACCTCTAAACTAATACTACTGAAAAAGAAGAAAGCCACGAAAACGCTTTTTGGGGTTAAAAGCGAAGAAAACAAAAGAAACTCTCAAAACCGAACCACCATGTTTGAACCCTGGGTTCGAACGCTGGTGTTTGAACTCAGCTTGGAACACTGGAATTTGAATTCTAGGTTGGAACACTGTTCGAACTCCATTTTCCGAAGTTCGACACACCAGTGTTCGAGCTTCGAACTTGGAGTAACTCGAGTTCAACTCAAGTTTGGGAAGCTCCGAGACGAGTGTAACTCAGAGTTCGAACTTCGAGTTCGGGGATTCGGGGAACAAATATGTTCGAACTCTTTTTAATCGGAGAGATGCGTTGTCTCAAGAGGAAGTACGTATTCATTCCTGAAGGGATCGTAGTGCAGCCCAACGAGGACAGGATTGATATTCAGCATGCCTCGAAGTGCTTAGCATCGAGAATGTCGAAGCCGACAACGCAAGTTTGAAACCACACAGTCTCGCTCCGAGATAGTGGATTCTCTTGAGCCCGGACGAAGGCCCTCGCGTGGGCCGCCTTGGACCGATTTTGAAAAAGTTTGCTTTACTTCTTGCGTTTTCTTCGGAGGCTTTTTCCTTGAGACAACAACGCGACAGAGCATCCCTCTTTTGTCTTGCAGTGCGTGAATCACACTCATGCCGTTCGCAGTGCGGATGCTCAAGCTGAGCAAAATTTTTGAGGCTCCTCTAAGGTCCCGGTAAAGTGCTGTCTACGAGGTTCCGGGTGCTAAACCCAAGGCTTTCTAGTTCCTCGCGGCCTGGGGGGGCGCTTTGCATGGTGTCAAGGACAGAGCTTGAAGAGTTCAGTCGGTACATTCAGTCTTCGCTTCTCAGCTTGGTGCGTGGGGCTTCGACCGAAGCCCGCAAGGACGTCGATAGTGCTAGAGCTGATTTCCTTGACGCTTTGCAATCCTTCAGGGACGAGACTCTTGAAGCCTTGACAGCTCTGCACGAGCGCGCCGACCTCTTGCTTGAGAATCAGTTTAGGCTGCAGACCCAGTTTCTGATTTTGCAACAGCGCATCACTTGGCTTGAAGGGGCGCCGGAGTGCACTGACGGTCCCGATTTCCTTCATACCTTAGACTAGGACTAGGATGGAATCACCGAGAGGCGCCGCCGCACCTGCCCATGCGAAGGCTGCAAATGTTCAAGTTGGGGTTGGTGAGTTCACTTTCCCGCCTTCGCCGCCTGTAGTGGTCAGCGACTTCACAGGTGATGTGCCATTACCACAGGATTTCCCAGGCTTTGCTGAATCGTCGGACGGCAGCTTCAGTCGAGTCAGCCTAGGTAGCGAGCGTGTCGGGAACGACCTACACTTCCCTCAGCTTGAATTCCCGGAAGACTGGGAAGAGGACTCGTCACAAGTCCCCGCTGCTTGGACGCCTCTTGGCGCGGAGACCTTGGAGCGAGCCGATAGGGATGTGGCCAGTCTGATGCGAGACATTTTCGGAAGCGACGATTCTCATGTAGAGCACATGGAATCGGGGACAGCCTCGAATGCACCCCGACAGCAGTCGGTTTCTTCGATCCCTGATCTTGATAAAGCTGTGTCGGTGGCCCATGCAGATGCCTCTGCAGACGGGCTTAGCTTGGAAGCCCCCGGAGCATTCGCTTCGACCGCGGGTGTCGTAGATGATGCTTTGGGTTCCTTTGTAGGAGGGCTTGTCAAGCAGGATGTTGCGAGATTCGGCAAACTTGATGACGGTCTCAAGCTCCCGTGGGAGAGTGAGTTCTCCAAGCTGCTTTTGGACCCAGACTGTGTGTGGGACCCTTTGCAAGGTCGCAAGCAGGGGTCGATCTTCCCGCCGATCACACATAATGCCCAGGCAGCCCGCAAACCTGAAGCCGGGTTCAAGGAGGCTCCGTCGGGTTCGATTTTCGCCTGGGCCATTGCGTTGGGTGCTGCAGCACGCGATCCCGCCGCGGAGCGAGAGCGCAAGAGGGAGCAAGGTATCGGCATGTGGAGTAGACTTGTGCTGAGGTACTCTGAGTGCTGCTCTCTTTTCGAGTGTGTCTCTCAGGGAATGAGAGACAGGGAAGCGGGCTACGAGGACGTTGTGCTGGGTTTCAGCTGCTGTGGGAGTGAAATCACCGCACACCATACACAAACGTGCTGCATCCTTTTGGACCTTCGTGCGATGGCTAGATGTCCACGAGCCCTTAGCCCCGAGCAGGCTGCATGAGGTGCAAGTGTGGCATTTTGTGCAGTTCCTCAAGGAAACTTCTGCGCCGGCCTCCAAGGCTGCTTCTGTCCTGAGTGCTTTCAGGTTCGCTCACTTCGTGCTGGGGTTCCGTTTGTCGGGCATAGTTGATTCTAGGAGGATTGCCGGAGCCACTGAGCAGCAGCTTGTGAATGTGCGCAAACTTCGCCAGGCTAAAGATCTTACGGTCTCGCAGGTTCTCGAGTTGCACGCGAGGTTGGAGTCGGGAGCCTTGCGCTGCTTTGACCGCGCACTCCTCGCGTCTCTGCTGATTAGGCTGTACGCTAGGGCTCGCCCGAGCGATTTCCTTTTCGGTGAGTCGGTCGAGGTTGACTGCCCGCCTGGAGCAGACTACCCGTTGTTAGTGTTCGAAGTTTCCCAGCACAAGGGGGCTAGGAAGGTGCAGCTTAAGACCAAGCTTTTGCCGATCCTGGTTCCCATGCTCGGGGTCCACGGAAAGTGCTGGATTGATGAAGCTTTGAGTGCTTTTCGGAAGGCGGGGAGAAGCTTGACCTCTGTTCGGGGTCCTCTGACCTTGGCACCTGCCGATGAATCAGGGGTCGTCTCTTCGAGGAGGTCCATTGCTTCCTCTGAAGTGGGCAAGATGTTGCGAGCTTTCCTAGGTTTGCCTGAGGAGGTTACCGATCCTTCGGCCCCCAGGGTCACTGCATACTCGTTGCGAGGCACTTGCTTGGGATGGGGAGGTAAGTTCGGGTTTGACGAGGACCTGGGGAGACATGCGTCCTCGGTCAAAACTACGCAAGCCATCTACAGCAGAGAACTGTCGGCTGCACCGGTCAGACGGCTTCAGGATATGATCAGAGAAGTTGCAGCCGGAAACTTCTTCCCTGATAACAGTCGCTCGAGTTACTTCCCGAGGCGAGCAGTTGGTAACGAGGAGGTCCCGACCCGGGGCTCCGACAAAGGAGCAGAGAAGCTCAATCCTGTCAAGGTTGAGGTGGTCAGCAGCGACGAGTCCGAGGCAGGGAACTCTGTTTCCTCAGACAATGAGTGCAGCGACTCCTCTCAGTCTTCGCAGTCCTCCTCCTCGTCGTCTGCGAGCGAGGCGGTTGAGCCTGCTGTTCGTAGGTGGAAGCGAGCTAAAGTCGAGGTGCCAGACCAGGTGTGGTATGTGAACGCTTCGAGTGGGGTCTTGCATCTGCTTGCCAGCCCCGATGATGTTCCGATGCTGCTCGCATGTGGGCGACCCGTAAGTGGGAACTATCGTGAAGCGACGAGAATCGAAGTCAGTCGTGGCAAAGAGTGCCGGACCTGCCGGCGCAGTGTGTGAGGCCCGCGCAGAGCGCGCTTTTGGGCGAACGATGAATGTATCGTGTGCTGGAAAGAAAGCGGGGAGCGAAGTGCTCGTAGCGAAGTGCTGTGTGAGCGTGTGGAGGTGAACACATGACATGTGTAGTTTTGAGCTGCTTGCTTGAGTGAATTCGAGTTTGTTCGACTTCAGCCTGTGGGCTCAACATGACGTCTCTTGTAGAGAGTACGCATCACTTCAAGTCGCGATGTACCGAGGTGGGCCTCAGTCGCGAAAGCCTCAGGGCGCTCGCGGACCATGGGATCGATACTTTGAGCAAGCTGGCTTATTCCTGCGGCCAGCCGGGCACACCGCTGCCTCAATCTGAGTTCGATGATTTCATTTCCACGGTCATGCCAGCGGCACTCTTGGGTGAGAAAGGAAGGGTGAAGCGGCTTCTTTTCGAGAGTCAAGCACTCCTGCTTAATGATCTCAGGGAACAGGTGACCCAGCCCGATAAGTGGTCTACGCGAGATGTTCCGACGGTCGAGCGTCAGAAGAGAATGGAGGCCGTGCGTGCCAGCATACCGGGTGTTGTGCTTGAGGGGTCCCTGGAGCCCTCCCATGGTCTCTTGAATGCAGCTTGTCGAATGGAGAGAGAGGGGCAGCTTCGCTACATAGCCCCCGAGCAGTGTGGCACTCGCATGTATGAGATCCAGAATGCCAAGGCCCAGAGTAAAATCCTGTCATTGGAGGAGGGCAAGTTGGCGATTTCTGAGGAGAAAGGGTTGCCAGAAGTAGCCTGCGGGTCAGCCTTGTTATTGCAGGAGGCTTTGAAGCGCCGAGGTGTGGCACTCCAGTTCGCCGGTGTAGCCAGTTACGTGGCACATGAAAGGTATGTCCTCAAACTCTTTGGGCATATGGGGCGAGAGCCCCCGCCAGGCTATGCAAGGACTAGTGTACACCAACTCCTTACGGCAGATAGGCAGGTCTGGACGCGAATGATCGAAAACGAAATCAGTCCGAAAAGGAGTGCAGATGGGACATACCCTGTTGATCGGGCTCTGCTCCCCACACTTGAGACATTCGACGTCACTGTAGCCCTCCTTCCGCGAAAGTCCGAGGAAAGTAAGAAGAGGGTCGCCACGCCGCATAAGCCCGCGGTTGAGCGAGACACTAAAATTACGAAGCCCCCCAAGGGCAAAGGTAAAGGCAAGAAGGGCACATGGCAGCCCAGTGTGCCGGAGGCCATCCGTAAACTGGGTGGAGTTGCAGAGACTCCCGACAAGAAGCGCATTTGCTTCTCCAGGAATCTGCCATGCGGCTGCACTCAGGATCCGTGCCCCAAGGGCTTGCATGTTTGTGCATTGTGTTTTGCGCCTGACCATGGTATTCAGGAGTGTCCAAAGAGAAAGAAGTGACTGCAGACAGGTGCTCCGGAAAGTTTTGTGCCGACCGATGACAGTGGGGCCGCTGTTACACCAGTCGCATCGACCTCAGCTGGAGGTCAGGATTCACCGATGCCAGATTCCATTCAGCTTGATTCGCCGGGGACAATATCCGTTGAGCCGGTGCACCCAGCTGAGCAGTTTTGTTCACAGCTTCGGGAAGGAAAGCTTGCCGATGTTTTGCAATTGATCACCATGCTTGAGAGTGAGACCCCGGCGAGGGGTCAAGAAGCGCCAAACACTTTCTCCTGGACTTCGGGAGCATATGCCAAAGGACCGCTCAAAGGCGTCAGGAAACACACCTCTGTTTTCCCAGCTTGTACGCGCTTGTTGTGTCAGCTTGTGCTGCAAACTTTCCCAAACGCCGACTTCACTTCTGTTGCGATTTATAAGAACCTTCAGACTGCGTTGCATGTCGACGTAAATAACGAGATGGGGTCGCAAAATTACTTGATCCCGATTACCGCTTTCCAAGGTGGAGAAGTCTGGCAAAAAGGGCCTGGCAACGACATCGTGCAGGACGAGCTAGGGTTTAGCCTCTCTGGGTCCTTAGTTCGGGTTGCCGATGGGCCGTGTACCCTAAACCCCCGTGAAACCCACTGCACCATGCCTTGGACTGGCGACCGGGTGCTGCTTGTCGCCTTCAAGCCTAATCACGCTGCAAGCTTGTCTTCGGAGTACCGCCAACGCCTGCTGGAAGCAGGGTTTCCAGAAAGTGCATTCCGTTCAAGGTCGTACTCTCAGGGTTGCGACTCTACTCGCCCACGGGGTGTGCTCCCAGACCACTTTGATGAAATGCCTACACGGCCCAGCGACAGTTCTGCTTGCACTTCCGACGCCGTCCCTAATCCTGTAACTTGGTGCGATCCCTCAGTCATTGAATTGTTTTCGGGGTCCGGCCGGGTAACTGCCTGTCTTAAACAGTTGGGGCTATCAGCCGTCGGGGTAGATGCTGACAAACGCAGGTCCATCTCAACGTGCCTACAGGCCGATCTAGCCACGCGCAAAGGACAGGACTTGTGCATGGAGTGGATATCGTCACCTAGGTTAGCCGGCCTTTTTGTGACTCCGCCTGCTCACTTGGGCAGTGCTATGGACCAATTCTTGGCAGCAGCCTTGTTACATGTCCTCGGCCGAGGGGTCTGTGTTTTGGCCCAGCCGGGCGATGGGCCGTTTTGGACATCCGACTGCTGGAGCAAGGTCTCTTCGCATTTTACTTTTGTGTCGTGCCACGATTGCGCATATGAGGGAAACCACCTGAGCACAACCATTTTTGCTGTCACCGATCGTTCATTTTCGAAGCTTGCTCGATTTTGCCCGGGCCACTCGTGCCGCCAGGACCGTCTGCCTGAGTGCAAATTGCATGGCGCCTATCCGGTGCGTCTGGCCATGCAGGTGGCTTGCTGTTTTGCTCAACACTTCGTGCAAAAGGGCTGGCAATCGCCCCCGCAATCTTTTGATGCTTTTCATCCTCGCTTGGAAGTTCCTATGTCTCGTGCTTTGGCTGGTGCCCAACCTCGTGCCAGCAAGATACCGCCACCAGTTAGTGAGCATCAGCGGGTCATAGTCTTGCAGCACCCTCCGGGGCTCGTGCTGCCGTGTCAGCCGATGCAACGACTCAGCAAGCCGTGGCCCGTGCCGCCACAGTGTGGTGCCACCCTGGCACACATCCCGGCAAAAGCTCAGCTGCTCCGGCACGTGCCAATAGTCCAAGCTGGGGGTAAAGAACTGGTGAAAGTTGACTCTTGGGAAATGGCTTGGGGGTTACCCTGGGAGCCTGAGGAGTTCATGCAGAAGGCGTCCGAATCATGTCACCCAAGGTCGATGGGCTCTGTGCTCCCGGCCCCCTTGAATGATACTCTTGAATCCTTGGATAAGTTGGGAGACGCCGAAGTCTCCGCTTTGAGGGCTAGGGTAATCAAGGAGTGGTTGCACTTGGCGACTTCGTTGTCCTCCAATGAGGCGGAGCTGAAGGCCAGCATGCACCCTGATGTTCGTGAGATTACAGCATCCAAACGCATCCTCTTGTGGGAAGCTTTGCTTAAGAAATACGATTACCCAGACCAGTGTGTGTCGAGCCTTCTCAAGGAAGGCGTCCCGTTGGTGGGGCATGCGCCCATTTCGGGAGTCTTTAAACCAAAGTTCAAGCCCATGCAAGCCACGCCGAAGCAGGTAAGGGAGGATTCAAAAGTTTTTCGGGAAAAGGTTAAAAATTCCCTTAAGCCCCAGGACCCCGCCTTAGCAGCAGAAGTTTGCTCCAAGACTGAGAAGGAGCGAGAAGCAGGATGGATCGTTGGTCCCATGTGCGAGTCCAGCTTGTGTGATGGGATCTTGGTTAGCCGTCGGTTCGGAATCCAGCAAGGCCAGAAGGTCAGGTGCATTGACAATTTGACTTCTTCGGGGGTGAACCTTGCGGTGCAGGCCTATGAGGCTCCGCAACCTCAGTCTACAGACGTGGTTGCATCCACTTGTCTTCGACTGCTGGAATCCATCAAAAAGAGAGCAGGCAAGGTCTTGTTCAAAATCTTGGGCAAGGCGTTTGATTACACTGCAGCTTACCGGCAGATGCCAGTCCACCCAGACACAGCCTGGGCAGCGTACGTTTGCTTCGTGCATCCAGACACGAACGAGCGGGTGTACTTTCGGATGAAAGCCATGCCATTTGGATCGGCAATGGCAGTCTACGCTTTCCTTAGGATTAGTCATTCCTTGTGGTTTCTCGGTGCAAAGGCATTGCTTCTGCCTTGGTCGTCGTTTTTCGACGACTTTGTCACTTTTGCGACGACGGGGTGCTGTGCGTCGGCAGAGGCGGCAGTAACGTCAATGTTCAAACTCCTAGGTTGGGCGTTCGCCGAGTCCGGCGAAAAGGCAAATGACTTTTCCGAGTGTTTCCAGGCGCTTGGAATCATGGTGGACCTTCGTGCATGCCTCGATGGCACCATAAGCTTCAAGAACACTGCAAAGCGGGTCTCCGAGATCAAGACGTTCGTGGGCAAGGTGCTTGAGTCAGGTAGGTTGCCACATCACGAGGCTCTAAGGCTCAGGGGTAGGTGCCAGTTCGCCGATTCGCAAATTTTCGGTCGTACTGGGAAGAAGTGCTTGGGTCTGATCACTGCTCATGCTTACGGCTTTGACGATGCAATCAGTCGCGAACTCAGGGCCTCACTCGAGAAGTTCTTACTCCGGCTCGAAGTCGGGGCCCCGCGCTTGATCAAGATCCTTGAGGGCGGATCGTGGCATGTGTACACAGATGCTTCGTATGAGCCAGGGGCAGGGAATAGTTTCTGCGGCCTGGGAGGGGTGCTGGTTGATCCCACTGGTGTTCCACGAAAATTCTTTTCACTTGTTTTGAGCGACGCACAGAAAAATTTTCTTGGCGAGCAGAATTCTGCACAGATCATCTTCCAGGCTGAAATGCTAGCAATGGCAGTGGCACTGGACGTATGGTTGCAGGACTTGATGGGGCACACGGCAATCTTCTTTGTGGATAATAACGGTGTGCGTGATGCAGCTATCTCTGCGAATGCCAGAGCTTCAGTCGCGAGGCGATTGTTGGAGGCGTTTCTGCAGAAGGAGCATAACTCCTCAATCATTCCGTGGTTCGCAAGGGTACCATCCCCATCGAACCCTGCAGACGAACCTTCAAGGGTTGAGCTTGACAGCTTGAGCTTGCTGGGGGTACAACTCCTTCGTTCGAATGTGACTCAAAGAGTCGACTCTTGCTTGAAGGATGTGCAGGGACTTAGGTAATAGGATTAAGTTGGGGGTGAATGCTAGCAGGGCCCCTCGCTGAGGGCTGCAACTCCCTGCGAACATTTAGGCTTAGCGAAATGCCAAATTGGGCATACGAACTTGGTGCCGACCGGCACTCCAGCAGTTGTTATCCCCAACGTCGCCAATGGAAAAACAGTCGTCTGTGCGAGCCTCGTGTGCTACTTCAGTCTTGCTGTGCAACTTAGGCGTAAGTTCTTCGTGCGAAACCTTTCCGAATCAGTGCAACTTTTACTCAGGAAACTTTTTGGTAAGTGCAGCTGTTTGGTCCAAGTCGTTCGGCTCAAGAGAACCACACAGTCTCGCTCCGAGATAGTGGATTCTCTTGAGCCCGGACGAAGGCCCTCGCGTGGGCCGCCTTGGACCGATTTTGAAAAAGTTTGCTTTACTTCTTGCGTTTTCTTCGGAGGCTTTTTCCTTGAGACAACAACGCGACAGAGCATCCCTCTTTTGTCTTGCAGTGCGTGAATCACACTCATGCCGTTCGCAGTGCGGATGCTCAAGCTGAGCAAAATTTTTGACCCACCCGCCCACCCTGGCAAGGGGGTGAATGCTAGCAGGGCCCCTCGCTGAGGGCTGCAACTCCCTGCGAACATTTAGGCTTAGCGAAATGCCAAATTGGGCATACGAACTTGGTGCCGACCGGCACCCCAGCAGTTGTTATCCCCAACGTCGCCGATGGAAAAACAGTCGTCTGTGCGAGCCTCGTGTGCTACTTCAGTCTTGCTGTGCAACTTAGGCGTAAGTTCTTCGTGCGAAACCTTTCCGAATCAGTGCAACTTTTACGCAGGAAACTTTTTGGTAAGTGCAGCTGTTTGGTCCAAGTCGTTCGGCTCAAGAGAAAACTTAATCTTTTATCTGAGTGGAACGGCCACAAGAGCCACCTTGCTACCGTATACCACAATTGGAAGTCGATTGATCACAAGCTGAATGGCAAAGAGAATAAAGAAATTGTTCAGGAAACAGGACATGTAGTGGAAGCCTACTCAGACAGTGATTGGGCAAGTTTGAAGACTCCAGAGAAAGCTTGAAGGAAGAGTACATCTTCTGGTATCATCGTATTGAACAGAGTACAAATACTTTTTTCCACAACGCAGAAAGCCACTTCATCGTCAAGCTGCGAAGCTGAATTGTATGCTTTGAGTGGAACCTGTGGAGAAGCCATGCTGGTTGGACGTCTGTTCAAACTCTTGATCGAAGCACCAGCAAGGATTGAAGGCCGGTGTGACTCAAGCTCAGCCAGACAGTGGACGCAAGAAGAGGAGTTGGACGTTTGAAGCATGTGGACGTGAGGTCATGTCAACTGCAAGATTGGGTACGTGACAGTATCGTAAGACTTGGAACAGTCAAGACAGCGTTGAATGTAGCAGATCTGAATACCAAGAAGTTGACGAGTTGACGTGTGCTGGAAGGTCATTGCTCCTGTATCATTTATCACAAGTGGAGTGTTTTGAAGATGGAGAGATTGAACACACTGGAGAAACAGAGTACGAGCAACACGAACAAGAAAAGAAGTTGAAAGAGTATGTCGGAAGCGACCAAGTGAAGAACCTTATTCGGTTGATTCATCAAGTATTGAGTGTATTTCGCCCAACGACCGCAGTTTGGACCAAGGACAGCCCTGAAGGTGTAGGGGCTTCACCGTGTACAGGAAGCTGTATGGAAGGTTCAGCCTGTACGAAGTGGTGCTGGTACTCATGGTAGTGCTATTGGCTATCCCGTATCTTTGGAGTGCATTTCGTAAGGTCGTACGTTTGTACTCACGGATGGCAACGATCGGTATGGTGAAATTCATTCTGGCAGCCGAAATCATGTATTTCACAAAGAAACGTGCCGATACGTTCAAGGAGAACCCAGAATAGGAGTATTCTCCTACCCGGACGAATTTGCAAGGAAACGTGGTTATCGCCCATGATATATATGTTGGTTAGAAGCCAAGGTGTCAGGGACATCTAAAGGCCATGGAAGGAACAAGATTGAAAGTGTTCCTAGCGAAGACGAGGACCGGGAAGGGAGTATGCCACGGAAAAGTGGAAAGCAACCTACGACAAGGTAGGAACTGGACAAAGCCTGGAAGTATCCTCAACGGAAGATCAGGACCACAGCTGGAACAGTCAGTCAGTTGGATTGAGGAGAAGGCCAGTGAACAGAGATGTTGGAGGAAGTCGTGTATCGTATGAACCAACGAGGAACCAAGCGACAGCGAATCGCGGGTAAACAAGGCAGAGAGGACTTGCGCAGGAAGCATTGGAGAGGGAATCCAGGATACGGAAGCTGAAGGCAGCAACAGTACCAGCAGTACTCAAGGGACACGGATGCCCATAATCAGTGAGGACGACGAAAGAACCGCAAGCAGTACAGTATCCGGACAAGGAACAGAGTTCGGACAGATCCACCACAATGGCAGGTGGATGAGTATGAAGGAAATGGGACGACAAGCAGACTACGAACGTTACTTGGAAGAGTCTGACGTACCGGACTCGACAGAAGCACGAACGGAAGGACCCCCGTGCTAAGAGTAAGCGTAAGAACTACAGCAAGGACGTCACGAATGCCCAGGAGTGAGTGTAGGCAAAGTTTCACCAAGCTAACACGATGCCAGGAAAGCAAAAGGACCCCTGCAGTGTTTTGCGACCAAACGAAATGTGGTTGTCGAAAGGAAGCCAGGTGTGCGCTACGGTACGTGTGGAGCCGAGTTGGCCATTGGACAATCCCCGGAATTGGGGGTGGCAAGGCGAGTATGATGCATGGAAGTCTTTAATCCGCACGCTGAAGTAAAACTTCACGGTGGAGCGAGGACTGCCCGCAAGGCCTAAAGTGAGAGAACTGTACAGCGACAACAAACCTCGAGGCAGGGTGTTAACTTGCTTGTATAGGTAAGGTCCCCCTTTGGGAGCCCAAGGCTACGGCATGGATATGCATGTATAGTTGTGTGGCCGTGCAGCGCCTTTTGGTTCAGCAGTGAAAAGTGTGACCGCGTAGGGTCGTACAGTTCAGTTCAACTTATACTTTGCGTGAGGAGCTGGTCAGAGAACTTAGCTGCTTGTATGCTGGAGTATAGGGAAGTCGCCCAGCAGCCAGAGGACTTCTTTCCAGGCTTCTCTGGCTTTGGCTTTTCTTGTGGCTTCCTGACCTCGGCGAGTTATGGGTCCGTTCTGGGTTGCTAACGTGTGGTTTTTATTGGAGCCTAACAGCTTAAGGGGCTTAGCCTGGGCGGGTGCCGTGGCGGGGCGGATCGGCAAATCCTGAACCGTAAGAAGCGGCCCTGGGCGATGGGCACGAGGAGCAGCCGGTCGAGCTTTTCGATGCATTTGGAAAGCTACAGCCTGGAAGTTTGTCATGCAACCAACTTCGCTTTCTGTTTGAGGTCAAGAAACTGCATTTTCGACATACCGGTCGTATCGATGTTAAACTACGTTGTAACATATACAGTGTCGTGTTGCGGTTTGTCGACACCCCCCACATGGCCCTCGAAAAGGGGTTGCGACTTGATTTGTGAGACTGTAAAAATTTGCTGTGGCAAGTTAGCTTGCGTGATTTTTTACACTCATGCTTTTCATGCTCGTTGGGTAGGTGAAGAAAACTCATTGTTTCGCAGCCTTGGCTCGCTGAGCTGAAGTTTTCTTGTCCCGCCCGACCCACCCTTGAAGTTGAGTTTTTCGCTTCTTGGTTGTTGGGCTGGTGTGGGGCGTACCCCTTAGCCTTAGCCGTTGTTGCCCCAGGCAGTGTGGACCATCTCATGATGGTCGCAGACGGAGCACCAGCTGAACGCTCAGGCGCAGTCGCACCAAGAGGAGGTCAATCAATTGAAGGTTCAGTTGGCTTGGATGCAGAGCTACCTGAGCCAGATGCAGGGACCAGCGACAGCGGCGGGCTCGGATGGCTTTCAGTTGGTCAACGAGTACTAGGCCGGAAAGGCCTTCCGAGCAGTGTGCACTCTGGAAACTCGTGTGTGATCCAGACAGAGTCGCAGCTGCTCAATGCACGCAGACACCAGATGCAGGCATTTTGCTTGCAGGCCTCAACTCCGTGGAGCATGCCCATGTCAAGGTGTTTTTATGTGTGGGATGAGTCAAGTGAAGTGTGGTGTGAATGTGTTGGTTGGCTTCCTCGCGTTGCAGAAGGGCATGTCTTTATGGTTGTGTTTGAAGATGAAAACAATATGGTGTTATGGAGTGAAGAAGCTGGCAAGCTTAAGGCGCTTTCGGCTGGGGAGCGCAAGCACACCATGAATGCGGTTATGGATGTGCAGACCAAAGTCGATGACAAGTGCCAGCAAATGTGTTTTGAGGCTGTATCACCAGACAGAATTCACCAGTTTGTTGAGTATGACCAGGCGATGGCCATTTTGGATCCGCTTGGGGCAGAACAGTTTTGGTTGGAGCTCAAAGCCAAAGGCCCAAGCTATCTTGTACTACAACCCGCTCGTGACGAGCCAAGCTTGAGGCTAGCATGTGAAGCAGCAGAGTGGCAGCAGGTGCGCAGTTTGGTGTTCGCTGTGGTATGTGATGCCGAGGATGAAGATTATGTTCGAAAGTGGCTTGGCGAATCACCTTCAGTCTATGTTGGAGAGCTCACCCCGAGTCGCAGAGTGATGACCAACCACTTGGAGATGTTTCGCGAGATGGAGAAGGTGTGGTGCCACAACCAAGAGAAGATCTCCCAGAACTCCAACGATCTTCTACAGAATCCAAAGGTGCACCGGTTGGAAGAGAACAGAGTGTTTTTGAATTTAGAGGTGATATCCCAGAACTCCGACGATCTTCTACCGAATCCAGAGGTGCACCGGTCGTATAATTATGATGTGTGTCAGGAGCACGACTGGTCCCAGTTTCAAGATGTGTGTCAGGAGCACGACTGGTCCCCGAATGAGTTGTGTGATCAGGACGTCTACATCACAACAGTCCAGGCTGGCATGATTGAGTTCAAGGCTGAGCGCCTGCTGGCGGACCTGGACTTCTCATTTGCTTCGCTAGAGC